ATCTAACAAAAGTACTTTCTAAAGTGTCTCCAAGCGACAACTCAAACAAAGAACCCTCAACTTTAGGCAACATTCTTCGGGTTAAAAATCTCGATCCAATATCCGTCAGGATCCTGGATAAACGCAAGGCCTTTCATACTTCCGTCCTGAGGTTTCTTGATGAATTGAACCCCCATCTTTTCGAAACGCTCGCACGCTTTTTCTACGTCTGGCACAACAATGCCGATGTGGCCTAAACTCGAAGTTCTGAAAAGCTCAGTGGAGAAGAACGTACAATGATAAGGCTACCGTATCCCCTGGGTTCTTTGTTGCCATTATGGTAGCTGAAATCGGGCTGGTTCTCAGTTCCCCAGTTACTAAAAAGTTATTGAAGTCGAGATATTTGATGTAATCGAGGACATTTCCAGTAACATTTCTAGAGCAAAACACGAGACAAAACAAAAGAAAATTCAAAAACAATAGGTGAACAATACTGGCTTCATATCGATACTTACTGAGTCAGCTCAATAGTAGACATGGTAGACAATGCATAATGATGTCTTTCCTTCTCTCCAGACGGTATTTCATCGGCCTTCTTATACCCCATAAAATAGAGCGAAAATTGACCACTGGAGAAATCCATCTGCTTCAAAAGCCTGGAAGATTGCAGTGCGTGACAGACATGTTTCGAAAGAACAAATATGTTCGGCGGAATAATTTAAGAGCCTTAGCTTACCTCATTCCAAGAACTTTAGTGTAAAATGGTAGCGACTTTCTAGGATCTTTGATACGTAGCATGGTCTGTTGAAAGTAAAAGCCTTCAGTCTCAGGTGCTGGCTCCCCTACCAATTCAGCTACCTAAAATAATACTCGAACAAAATTCTACAATGAATAAAAATTCTACAATGATGGGATAAATTTAGTTTACAATGTAAGGTTGCAAATGCACAATAACGCAAATACTAGGGTGCAATTTCAATGGCCACAACGACCTTAAAAGGCAACAACATATAACATCCGTGTTCTTTGCTGATTTTGTGTAAAGTGTTCAATTACGCGACAACATGAAATCTTAAAATTTCGGCATCTTTTTTTAATCCTACTTTTACAAATTTAAATTTAGAGCTAAAAA